AACAGATGAGTATGAAAATGCCTTCCCACACACACTGCACTTGAAGGGTTTCTCTCCTGTGTGTGTTCTCTGGTGTTTTGCAAGATCACTTGACTCTGAAAATGCCTTCCCACACACACTGCACTTGAAGGGTTTCTCTCCTGTGTGTGTTCTCTGGTGTTTTGCAAGATTTGAGGACTGTGAAAATGCCTTCCCACACACTCTGCACGTGAAGGGTTTCTCTCCTGTGTGTGTTCTCTGGTGTATTGCAAGATCAGATGACTGTGAAAATGCCTTCCCACACACAATGCACTTGAAGGGTTTCTCTCCCGTGTGTTTTCTCTGGTGTCTTTGAAGAGTTGATGAATCTGCAAACGCCATCTCACACCGAGTGCACTTGAAGGGTTTTTCTCCCGTGTGTTTTTTCTGGTGCTGTGTCAAAATTTCAGTCCGATCCGTGCTGTATGCACGCTGGTCGGATTGTTGCCTTGCCGTACCGAGCCGCGCTGACTGCCTGTGCTCCATCAGACCAATTCTGCAGTGGAAGCGTCAGAGGAAGCGACAGCTGCAGACAGAAAATAGCATCTACACGTCAGTATCGAGGCACAGAGGAATGAATATACGCATATATAAGTACACAATCTTGATTTGAAGCTTTCATGACTGCAGGAATCCATACTCTATGGTTCTTTTGGTAAAGTCACGTAGGTAGAATTAACATAAATGACGTTTCGAACGCAACACAAGCGTTCGTCTTCGGGTGAAAATTGCGATAGCTGAGATGTCTGCTGTGATTTATTTTAATAAACGCTTTCATTTAACTCACTGTCTGTTGTTGTTGTCATTGTTGTTGTTGTATCCTCAAATCTTGTAACTCAATTTTAACCCACTTCCCAATGTGATAGACTGCAAACTTGGTATACTTACGCCATACTGATGACAATACTATATTCTATCATTAAATAAAAAAAATTTAAACAATCTTTTTTACATGTTATGTTTCGGCTTGGGTCTAATTGTCCACGGTAAACTGACGTTGGCTGTAATTGACCACGGTCGCTTGTGTTACGGCAAGCCTCAGGGCCACTTCCTGGAGTCGTGGAGTTCTTCCATTACAAGTACATTTCATAAAAGCGTGTTCTTAAAAGTTTTTTAAAATTGTACTTATTTTATTTCTACCTACGTGACTTTACCGAAAGAACCAAAGAGTATATATAAATACAGTCACACATGACTAACACGTCTATACGTATTAATATATTCATGATAGAGTTAAAAGTTTCCCAAATTCATCACACGGGCTGTTATGGCGCACTATGAGAGGGCAAATGGTCATAAACATTCCTCGTATCTTCAAAATGAATGTTAACCCAAAACTCCAAGCACACAATTTTGGCTGTCTGGCTACAAAATGAATATTCATAAGAGCTAAATTCAGCTGACATAGCAAAGGGTGTTGAAAATAATACTACTTGTGTTATGCATAAATTCATGTTCAATCGCAACTTAGAGGTGTGAAGCCAGGCTCAGGTTTCTTTGAATGCTGGGATGAACAAATCTAACGTCAGCTGTATGTGTGCTGTGTCAACTTCCTGACTGCTTCCATTCTCATAAAGAGTTCCAGATAAAAACAAAAAACATAAACCATGCTTTTGATATAACCTCTGTGTTCAATAGAATTAATAGACTTTACTGCAAACACAAACTTGACACTGCTACACACTGCCGTGTTAAACAGGTGGTGTCGTGTCCAGAACCATGCCTGGCCCCACACCTTCATCTGCTCAGTATTAATGTTTCAGTTTCATTTATTAGGTACTAGCTTTACTACCTGGCTTCGTCCGAGACTTGGATTCTTGTCTTGAATGAATCCACGGCCAACGCGGAGGGTGGGAGATGCGTGACGTCAGCATGCACACTGCGTGACACTGCCGCATGCGGGTGACATCACAGACGTGAGGTCACCGCTCACTTGCCATGCAAAATATATCCATTATTGCGCACACTCCCCAAAAAATGCAAAAGTAAATTTTTATACTTTTTGCATTGTGTACAGTCTGGAAGGTACCCACATGCCAAATTTCAAGTTTGTTGCATGTCAGAAAGTATGCCCCTCCGGATGCCCCTCCACATTTAAGAGTGAACATCAGCACGCGTTTAGAGCCTTTGACCGATAGTCATTTCCACACGTTGACAAAGCCCACCTTTAAATTTTGATTTAAAGCTTTCGTGACTGCAGGGATTCATATTCTTGGTTCTTTCGGTAAAGTCACATATAAGGGAAATAACAAAATAATATCAATATAAAACAACAAATGCACTCACGAAAGCTTCAAATCATAAGAGCGGTAACAGCAGCACAAGTGGGCTCGGCCTGGTTACATAAAATAGAAACTTAAGTTGTCCTCGTGTTGTATTTCCTGCAGTCACGAAAGCTCCAAATCTCTCATTGCCATGCTCATTTCTCTACACCCCCCCCCCCCGTATCTCTCTGCCCCCCTCTCTATTTAAGCCCTTAACACAGAGGTGTTGTTTCTGTGTGTGCCTATGTGTGTGCCTACGTGTCTGTGTTATCTCTCCCTGTGTGCCTATGTGTCTCTCTCTGTGTGCCTGTGTCATCTCTCTCTGTGTCTCTGTGTGTCTCTGTGTGTTTATGTGTCTGTCTCTCTGTGTGCCTATGTGTGCCTATGTGTGTGTCTATCTCCATGTCTATATGTGTCTCTTTCTCTGTGTCTCTCTGTGTGCCTATGTGTCTCTCTGTCTCTGTGTTATCTCTCTCTGCTTGTGTGTATGTGTCTCCATGTCTGTGTTTAGTTCTCTCTAAAATTTAGCAATCTTTGGAAGAACGTTAATAAACCAGGTGGGGTGTTGACTGTTATGTGAGCCGACTCGCTGTGTTGTGTTGTATTGCATTGTAGTTCTAAGTTTATTTTATTTTATACCTATGTAACTTTACCGAAAGAACCAAAGACTATTGTTCTAAGTTTACAATCTTTGCTTTCTCATTCATTTGTACCTGATGGTGATTGCTCGTGTTGCAAAGGAAACGTCGTATGCTATTATTTAATTAATGTGTTCTTTCTACGTGACTTTACCGAAAGAACCAAAGAGTATGGATCCCTGCACTCACGAAAGCTCCAGATCAAGTTTAACCGAGATAATTATTTGTTCTTTTCGGTAAGGTCACGTAGGTAAAAAAATTAATGAAACGAATAAATTATGAAATATTTTTTAGTATTAAAAAGTTTTAATGAAAAAAATTGTATTAAAAATTAAATATGAAAAAAAAGAAACTAAATACATTTTGTTTTTTCATTTATGAAAAAAAGTTTGGATAAAAAAAATATGATATAACTAAAATAAATGAAAAAAAACCACCACATTAAATTGGTTGTTTCTTCATTTATTGTATTTCTGCTGCCGTCACGAAAGCTTCCAGATCAAGTTGAAGCGAGAGAATTCAAACAAAGGCCTTCAGGCGAGGGCAGGAGGCGAGGCCCCGCGTGGCTAGGCCCCGCGTTGTAATGTCCCAACATGGACATGGATTCCCATACTCGCTGCGACTCAATTGACATCCCTACGAGAAAGAGAGAGGCTCTACCTTGGTAAACAACAACAACCACCACCACCACAACCACCACGATGAAAATCTCTCACCTCGGATTTCATCGGCAGCTTCTCGTTACCTCGCTACGTTATGGCGGCAGCAGGATGTGACGTAATATTCACTTTCGGGGTACAAGACACGCCCCCAACGAGCGGTGCTGGGTAACTGAATAACTTATTCGAGAATTGAAGCTTTCGTCAACTGCAGGAATGACTCAACTCGTTGTACACTCATTGGCTCTTTCGGTAAAGTCACACGTCGAGGGATGATGGGGCGTGGGTGCTGAACCCGTCGCAATAAAAAAACAAACTCGCGACGGCTTTTAACGAATATATTATGTTAATTGTATTTCATTTCTTTACCGAAATAACCAATGAGCAATTCCTGCAGTCACCAAAGCTTAGATCCTAGATTATGTTAATGAGCCGCCAGTCACTGGGCGTAGCTTTGCCCAAATAAGGATTGTACGGGAACAGACATCGACGGTGACCAAGCAGGGGTGACATGACGTCACTAGCGAGGCGCACCGCCCCCCCGTGGCGTTTCACGCCGATGAAGTAATGCTTAGTGGTGACGTCAGAGAGCGGGGTCAGAGTTCAAGTTTTGCGTCCAGAGGCCGTCCATAAATGACGTCACGCGATTTTGGACGATTTTTGATCCCCCTCCCCCCCTCGTTACACGGCGTCACAAAAAGTCAGACCCCCCTCAAATATGACGTCACAAAGCTCTACCCCCCCCCCCCTTCAAAAAAAACACGCTTCAAATCGCTTTAAACTATTGTCATTGTAGTGCGTATTTAATGTGGCGCTGCACTCTGATGTTGTAGAAGAAAACATTTATTCAAAAGGAGACCAGGGGGGTGGGGGTTGAGAAATGTGACGTCACATCAAAATGCGCAACTTTAAATACATATAGACAACACGTTCTACTTAATTAAATAGACTTTTTAATGTTTTCTCCTACATCAGAATGCAGCGCCACATTAAATACGCACTACAATGACAATAGTTTAAAGCAATTTGAAGCGTGTTATATTTTATTTGGGGGGCAGAGCTGTGTGACGTCATATTTGAGGGGGTTTGACTTTTTGTGACGCCGTGTGACGCGGGTGGGGGGGTCAAAAATCGTCCAAAATCGCGTGACCTCATTTATGGACGGCCCCCATAACCAGTGGAGATGATTTTTTTAACCGGTCCTGAGCCGCCCCTACATCGACTCAGCCTCAAATGCGTACCCGGTGCGGTGTGCGAATATCGCCACCCGCTAACAGCACTTGCTCCAATAGTCTGTGAAGGCTATACCGGGGGGATCTTTGTCTTTGTATGTACACACACACGTGGCCGATTACACAGATTAAAGGTCTCGACACACGTTGCCGTGAAAGTTCACAAATTCACGTGTCTGGTTTATTGTGTTTGGTTACAATTATTCAAAACTCGTAAATTACAGGGCGTTTCAGAAGGGTGGACCGCATCTGCTTTGAAATTGGGTGTTATGTCATTTCTGTACGATTCCAATCATTTTCGATTTAAAGTTTTCGTGACTGCAGGGATTCATCTTCTTGGTTCTTTCGGTAAAGTCACGTAAAAGGGAAATAATAAAACAATAAATAAAACATACTAAAATAAAATTCTCACGTTTCGGCCAAAACGCAAGCAGGTCTGTCACCTGAGGGCGGCTGCTTGCGTTGTGGCCGAAACGTCGTGAGAATTATTTTAAAAAGTTTTATTTTTATTATTTCCCTTCTACGTGACTTTACCGAAAGAACCAAGAAGATGATTCCAATCATTTTTACACGCTTCTATTTAACTCACTTCGTCTGTTGTATCCTCAAAAACGAAATCTTCTAACTCAAATTTTACACACTTCCCAATGTGCTATCGACTGCAAACTTGGTATAGCGATGTCATATTGATGACAACACGATATTATATCATACAAAATCCAAAACATAGATTTTTTTTTACATTTAACACGCTTTTATTTAAATTTACTGTATGTGTTGTATCCAAAAATCTTGTAACTCAATTTCAACCGTATTCCCAATGTATCGAATGCAAAATTCGTAGAGGTGTGTCATACTGATGACAATACCATATTTTATCATTAAAAATAAATAAATATTTTTTTACAATCTTTTTTACGGCTATAATTGTCAACGCTCAACCTGACGTTGCCTGTAAATCACCGCGGTCCCTTACGTCACGGCAAGCCTTGGGGAGCCACGCCCAGGGCCGGGGCATGTGGAAGAGGAGCGATGAGAGAAGGGGGCAGGGGCAGCTCGGACAGTACATTTCATTAAAGCGTGTTTTTAAAAAAAGTATTTTAAAATATTTTATTTTAACTGTCTGTTGTCGTTTTTGTCGTATTCTCAAATCTTGTAACTCAATTTTAACCAACTTCCCAATGTGGTATCGACTGCAAACTTGGTATACTTATGTCATACTGATGACAATACTATATTCTATCATTAAAAAAAATATATTTTTAAACATTCTTTTTTATATATTATGTTTCGGTCTAATTGTCCCCACAGTCAACTGACGTTGGCTATAATTGGCCACTGTCCCTTACGTTATGGCAAGCTTCGGGGCCATTTCCTGGAGTCGTGGAGTTCTGCCATTACTAGTACATTTCATAAAAGCACGTATGAAAAAACAAGTGTTTTTCTTAATTATTTATTTATAGTCAAAATCGCCAAATTTGCGGAGCTTCGCTGCAAGTACAGGGAGAGACGAGAGGTGAGGCAGCGACGCGCTCAGCCTCCCCTCCGATTGCGCAACCCCTCAGACACTGGATGGAACTCGGGCAGTAAGGGTGTGCCTGTTACTATCTCAGCATGTCACCAATGGAATGTGTGTAGACCCCTTCATTACATGTCCTCGCCTTCCATAGTCCAGGTAACTGAGTTCAAGTACAGTAGAATGTCTGGTCATGATCATAATTCGTTCCATAACTTTGGTCGCAACCTGATTTGGTCATGACTCAAACTTAATTTCCCCATTGGATTGTATGTAAGTACGATTAATCCGTTCCAGACTCCTACAAACTGTATATAGAGTTTTAAAAAGATTTTTAAGCACAAAAATAGTTAATTATGCCATAGAATTCAGTGTAATAGGAAACTAAATGTAAAAACATTGCATAACACTGAGAAAACCTTGAACAGAGAAAACTAACATTGCCGCGTCAAGGTGTAGAATCATTCAACAAGATTACTGTTTCGTCTGCTACATCAGTCGGTCGATTCTGGAAGAGAATATTCGTATGAGCAATTCATGTTTCTATTGAAAGTTAACAGTAATATCTGGGTACAGTATTGTTTTTGGAAGCATTCACCGTAATATCGTATGAACGTTTACTTCACCGCATCATCGTATGAATGATGCGAGAAGAGATTAACGGGTTCTTATGTTAGCGATTTACGTACTCAGCGTTTTCGCTCTCTAAATTATGGCTTGAATGAGGGGGGACGGGTATGACTACACTTACAAAATGTATACATATCTTACTAGGAATTTTATATAGCAAAATATATATACATAACTGTTACGCTTTGTGTAATTCAACAACAAAAATGGCGCGGAAGGGGAAAGCGGCCGTGTTTGATCGCCACCCGAGTATGTGTTCGTGACCAGATTAAATAAACTGCTGTAAATGTTTTGGTCGAAACCCAATTTGGTCGTGGTCAGAAGCATTCGTGACCAGAGGTTCTACTGTATGTGCATAAAGATACGTAGGCTCGCTGGTCTCGTCATGAAACTCCAATGAAAAAGCACCAGGGGAGGCAGCTATCACATCTGCCTCACTGAGGGGGGGGCGTGTCAGACACCCCCCCCCTCGGTGAGGCCACGCCCCCGGTGCCTCCCCAGCCACTGACCTCACGCCATGTCACTGGCTCCCATCCATCGCGTTCAGTGTTAATTACCGAGGCTCACAGAGCAAGACTAAGGCTCCCATAGGGTTCAGTGTTAATCACCGAGGCTCACAGTGCCAGACTAAGGCTCCCATAGGCTTCAGTGTGAATCACTGAGGCTCACAGACCCAGACAAAGGGTCCCATAGGCTTCAGTGTGAATCACTGAGGCTCACAAGAGCCAGATGAAGGCTCCCATATGGTTCAGTGTGAAACACCGATGCTCCTGGTGAGATATCTACCCAACCAACAGATCCACCAAGACTGGCCGTTCTTACCCTACAGGTTGAACCTAAGATTTCAATGTTCTACTTCACATTATTTTCATTAAAGGCCTGTGACAAAGGTGCATCTATTGGGAGCGACATCGTCTCAAGCTTACACATCTACCGAGTCTCCATTTGACTTTATATTGTCGAGGAAGTCCACCCACACCTCCACTTCCACAAACTGCTGCGAGTTGCCTCGCTCTGCCTCACAGTCAGAATTCCCCTCTTGCTTCACGTTGCCTCCACCGATGTGAAGGTCCCATTCTGGAGTCGAATTTTCATCTTCACATTTTACCTTCACATCTTCGCTCTTCAACGTCACCTCTTCACATTTCACAATCACCTCTTCAAATTTCACCTTGATACCTTTCAAAGTGCCCAAGCTGGGATTTTCTTCCGGTACTTGTTTCATGAGGGATGGGCTCCTTATGGCACTTTGACTTTCACAAGCTGATTTCAGACTCCACTCCTTGTGGATCTTCTGATGCTTCTGTGTTCTCTGGTGTTCTTGAAGATGTTGTGAACGTGCAAACGCCTTCCCGCACAGAGTGCACCTGAAGGGTTTCTCTCCTGTGTGTGTTCTCTGGTGTGTTGCAAGATTTGAGGACTGTGAAATAGCCTTCCCACACACACTGCACTTGAAGGGTTTCTCTCCTGTGTGTGTTCTCTGGTGTATTTGACAATTTGATGGACCTGCAAACGCCTTCCCACACACACTGCACTTGAAGGGTTTCACTCCTGTGTGTGTTCTCTGGTGTGTTGCAAGATGTTGTGACCGTAAAAATGCCTTCTCACACACACTGCACTTGAAGGGTTTCTCTCCTGTGTGAGTTCTCTGGTGTCTTGCAAGAACATATGACTGTGAAAATGCCTTCCCACACAGAGTGCACTTGAAGGGTTTCACTCCTGTGTGTGTTCTCTGGTGTTTTGCAAGATGTTGTGACCGTAAAAATGCCTTCTCACACACACTGCACTTGAAGGGTTTCTCTCCAGTGTGAGTTCTCTGGTGTCTTGCAAGAACATATGACTGTGAAAATGCCTTCCCACATAGAGTGCACTTGAAGGGTTTCTCTCCTGTGTGTGTTCTCTGGTGTATTGCAAGATGTTGTGACCGTAAAAATGCCTTCCCACACACACTGCACTTGAAGGGTTTCTCTCCTGTGTGTGTTCTCTGGTGTCGTGCAAGATATTGTGACTGTGAAAATGCCTTCCCACACACACTGCACTTGAAGGATTTCTCTCCTGTGTGTGTTCTCTGGTGTTTTTGAAGAGTTGATGAATCTGCAAACGCCATCTCACACCGAGTGCACTTGAAGGGTTTTTCTCCCGTGTGTTTTTTCTGGTGCTGTGTCAAAATTCCAGTCCGATCCGTGCTGTATGCACGCTGGTCGGATTGTTGCCTTGCCGTACCGAGCCGCGCTGACTGCCTGTGCTCCATTAGACCAATTCTGCAGAGGAAGCGTCAGAGGAAGCGACAGCTGCAAACAGAAAATAGCATCTACACGGCAGTATCAAGGCACAGAGGAATGAATATACGCATATATAAGTACACAATCTTGATTTGAAGTCACGTAGGTAGAATTAACATAAATGACGTTTCGAACGCAACACAAGCGTTCGTCTTTGGGTGAAAATCGCGATAGCTGAGATGTCTGCTGTGATTTATTTTAATAAACGCACTCATTTAACTCACTGTCTGTTGTTGTTGTTATCATTGTTGTATCCTCAAATCTTGTAACTCAATTTTAACCCACTTCCCAATGTAATATCGACTGCTAACTTGGTATACTTATGCCATACTGATGACAAAACTACATTCTATCATTAAATAAAAAAAAATTTTAACAATCTTTTTTACATGTTATGTTTCGGCTTGGGTCTAATTGTCCACGGTAAACTGACGTTGGCTGTAATTGACCACGGTCGCTTGTGTTACGGCAAGCCTCGGGGCCACTTCCTGGAGTTGTGGAGTTCTTCCATTACTAGTACATTTCATAAAAGCGTGTTTTTAAAAGTTTTTTTAAATTTTACTTATTTTATTTCTACCTACGTGACTTTACCGAAAGAACCAAAGAGTATATATAAATACAGTAACACATGACTAACACGTCTATACGTATTCATATATTCATGATAGAGTTAAAAAGTTTCCCAAATTCATCACACGGGCTGTTATGGCGCACTACGAGAGGGCAAATGGTCATAAACATTCCTGGAAGCCCTCGTATCTTCAAAATGAATGTTAACCCAAAACTCCAAGCACACAATTTTGGCTGTCTGGCTACAAAATGAATATTCATAAGAGCTAAATTCAGCTGACATAGCAAAGGGTGTTGAAAATAATACTACTTGTGTTATGCATAAATTCATGTTCAATCGCAACTTAGAGGTGTGAAGCCAGGCTCAGGTTTCTTTGAATGCTGGGATGAACAGATCTAACGTCAGCTGTATGTGTGCTGTGTCAACTTCCTGACTGCTTTCATTCTCATAAAGAGTTCCAGATGAAAACAAAAAACATAAACCATTGTTTTCATATATCCTCCATGTTCAATAGAGTTAATAGACTTCACTGCAAACACAAACTTGACACTGCCACACACTGCCGCGTTAAACAGGTGGTGGCGTGTCCAGAACCATGCCTGGCCACACACCTTCATCTGCTCAGTATTAATGTTTCAGTTTCATTTATTAGGTACTAGCTTTACTACCTGGCTTAGCCCGAGACTTGGATTCTTGTCTTGAATGAATCCACGGCCTACGCGGAGGGTGGGGGGTGCGTGACGTCAGCAAGCACACTGCGTGACGCAGCCGCATGAGGGTGACATCACAGACGTGAGGTCACCGCTCACTTGCCGTGCTAAATATATCCATTATTGCGCCCCCCCACCCCACAAAAATGCAAAAGTAAATTTTTATACTTTTTGCATTGTGTACAATCTGGAAGCTACCCACATGCCAAATTTAAAGTTTGTTGCATGTCGGAAAGTATGCTAAACATTTAGAACAGATACACATTCACAAATTTCCCTTTTATATATAGATAACCCCGTGAGCCATGCGGCTCTTGACTCGGGGGCAACTGCAACAAACAAAAACATGAACAAGAAACATCTTAAAGTGACTACACGCAACAGAAAAATCCAGGAAAAAACAACAGAAAAAACACCGTATTTCAACGCTGTGTGCAAAAATCCCAGTGGGATGCAAGTCAAACAATAACAACCATAAGACAACTTAGATTAAAGGTATCAGTCTAACTCTGTACTACCACAAACAAACATGGCTAAACCAAACGTTTTCAATGCTTACTCACTCCACCAAATAATTGAGGATCAAATCAACATAACCGAGTTTGCGTGTCTCCCTCTCTCTCCGTGGTGGCGTGGATTTTCCTCCGGATGCAACTCCACATTTAAGAGTGAACATCAGCACGCGTTTAGAGCCTTTGACCGATAGTCATTTCCACACGTTGACAAAGCCCACCTTTGTTGTGTGGGCAGGTCGCGTCTGAAAACAAGAGCGGACGCTTTTCGCACGAAACGTCGTGATTTATTTTATTTTCTGACCTACGTGACTCTACCGAAAGAACCAAAGAGTATGGATTCCTGCACTCACGAAAGGTTCAAATCATAAGAGCGGTACAGCAGCTCAAGCGGGCTTGGCCTGGTTACATTTCCTGCAGTCACGAAAGCTCCAAATCTCTCATTGCCATGCTCATTTCTCTACCCCCCCCCGTCTCTCTCTGCCCCCCTCTCTCTCTATTTAAGGCCTCGACACAGAGGTGGTGTTTCTGTGTGTGCCTATGTGTGTGTCTCTCTCTCTGTGTTATCTCTGTGTGTTTGTCTCTCTCTCTCTCTGTGCCTATGTGTGTCTCTCTGTGTGCCTATGTGTATGTCTCGCTCTGTGTGCCTTTGTGTGTGTGTCTATGTGTGTCTCTGTCTCTTTGTTATCTCTCTGTGAGCCTATGTGTGTGTCTCTATCTCTCATCGTGTCTCTATCTGTGTCTATGTGTGTGTCTCTGTGTCTTTGTGTTATCTCTCTCTGTGTGTGTATCTCTCTGTAATGCCTATGTGTCTCTCTCTGTCTCATCTCTCTCTGCTTATGTGTGTCTCTCTCTGTGTGTCGGTATCTCTCTCTGCTTGTGTGTCTGTGTGTCTCCGTGTCTGTGTTTAGTTCTCTCAAATTTAGCAATCTTTGGAAGAACGTTAATCAACCAGGTGGGGTGTTGACTGTAATGTTAGCCGACTCGCTGTGTTGTGTTGTATTGCAATGAACCAAAAAATATAGTTCTAAGTTTACAAGCTTTGTTTTCTCATTCATTTGTACCTGATGGTGGTTGCTCGTGTCGCAAAGGAAACGTCGTATGCTATTACTTAATTAATGTTTTCTTTCCACGTGACTTTACCTAAAGAACCAAATAGTATGGATCCCTGCACTCACGAAGCTCCAGATCAAGTTTAAACGAGATAATTCTATGTTTGTTTCGGTAAAGTCACGTAGGTAAAACAATAAAATGAAACAACTAAATTAAATTAGTTTTTTTTATTTTGTTAAAAACATTTTTGATGAAAAATAAAATATTATGAATAAACAACTAAAATAAATGAAACGAAATAGTTTTTTCATTTTTTACGAAACTAAATTTGTATTTAAAAAATATTATGAAAAAACAACTAAAATTTGAAAAAACAACTAAATTAAATTGGTTGTTTCTTCATTTATTGTATTTCTGCTGCCGTCACGAAAGCTTCCAGATCAAGTTGAAGCGAGATAATTCAAACAAAGGCCTTCAGGCGAGGGCAGGAGGCGAGGCCCCGCGTGGCTAGGCCCCGCGTTGTAATGTCCCAACCTTGACATGGATTCCCATACTCGCTGCGACTCAATTGACATCCATACGAGAGAGAGGCTCTACCTGGGTAAACAACAACAACCACAACAACCACCACAACAACAACAACCACCACGATGAAAATCTCTCACCTCAGATTTCATCGGCAGCTTGTCGTAACCTCGCTACGTTATGGCGGCAGCAGGATGTGACGTAAAATTCACTTCCGGGGTACAAGACACGCCCCCAACGAGCGGTGCTGGGTAACTGAATAACTTATTCGAGAATTGAAGCTTTCGTCAACTGCAGGAATGACTCAACTCGTTGTACACTCATTGGCTCTTTCGGTAAAGTCACACGTCGAGGGATGATGGGGCGTGGGTGCTGAACCCGTCGCAATAAAAAACAAACTCGCGACGGCTTTTAACGAATATATTATGTAAATTGTATTTCATTTCTTTACCGAAATAACCAATGAGCAATTCCTGCAGTCACCAAAGCTTAGATCCTAGATTATGTTAATGAGCCGCCAGTCACTGGGCGTAGCTTTGCCCAAATAAGGATTGTACGGGTCAGACATCGACGGGGACCAAGCAGGGGTGACATGACGTCACTAGCGAGGCGCACCGCCCCCCCTGGCGTTTCACGCCGATGAGGTAATGCTTAGTGGTGACGTCAGAGAGAGGGGTCAGAGTTAAAGTTTTGCGTACAGAGGCCGTCCATAAATGACGTCACGCGATTTTGGACAATTTTTGATCCCCCTCCCCCCTCGTCACACAGCGTCACAAAAAGTCAGACCCCCCTCAAATATGACGTCACAAAGCTCTACCCCCCCCCCCCCTTCAAAAAAAACACGCTTCAAATCGCTTTAAACTATTGTCATTGTAGTGCGTATTTAATGTGGCGCTGCACTCTGTTGTTGTAGAAGAAAACATTTATTAAAAAGGAGACCAGGGGGGTGGGGGTTGAGAAATGTGACATCACATCAAAATGCGCAACTTTAAATACATATAGACAACACATTCTACATAATTAAATAGACTTTTTAATGTTTTCTCCTACATCAGAATGCAGCGCCACATTAAAAACGCACGACAATGACAATAGTTTAAAGCAATTTGAAGCGTGTTATATTTTATTTGGGGGGCAGAGCTGTGTGACGTCATATTTGAGGGGGTTTGACTTTTTGTGACGCCGTGTGACGCGGGTGGGGGGGTCAAAAATCGTCCAAAATCGCGTGACCTCATTTATGGACGGCCCCCATAACCAGTGGAGATGATTTTTTTAACCGGTCCTGAGCCGCCCCTACATCGACTCAGCCTCAAATGCGTACCCGGTGCGGTGTGCGAATATCGCCACCCGCTAACAGCACTTGCCCCAATAGTCTGTGAAGGCTATACCGGGGGGGATCTTTGTGTTTGTATGTACACACACACGTGGCCGATTACACAGATTAAAGGTCTCGACACACGTTGCCGTGAAAGTTCACAAATTCACGTGTCTGGTTTATTGTGTTTGGTTACAATTATTCAAAACTCGTAAATTACAGGGCGTTTCAGAAGGGTGGACCGCATCTGCTTTGAAATTGGGTGTTATGTCATTTCTGTACGATTCCAATCATTTTCGATTTAAAGTTTTCGTGACTGCAGGGATTCATCTTCTTGGTTCTTTCGGTAAAGTCACGTAAAAGGGAAATAATAAAACAATAAATAAATAAAACATACTAAAATAAAATTCTCACGTTTCGGCCAAAACGCAAGCAGGTCTGTCACCTGAGGACGGCTGCTTGCGTTGTGGCCGAAACGTCGTGAGAATTATTTTAAAAAGTTTTATTTTTATTATTTCCCTTCTACGTGACTACCGAAAGAACCAAGAAGATGATTCCAATCATTTTTACACGCTTCTATTTAACTCACTTCGTCTGTTGTATCCTCAAAAACGAAATCTTCTAACTCAAATTTTACACACTTCCCAATGTGCTATCGACTGCAAACTTGGTATAGCGATGTCATATTGATGACAACACGATATTATATCATACAAAATCCATAACATAGATTTTTTTTTACATTTAACACGCTTTTATTTAAATTTACTGTATGTGTTGTATCCAAAAATCTTGTAACTCAATTTCAACCGTATTCCCAATGTATCGAATGCAAAATTCGTATAGGTGTGTCATACTGATGACAATACCATATTTTATCATTAAAAATAAATAAATATTTTTTTACAATCTTTTTTACGGCTCTAATTGTCCACGCTCAACTGACGTTGCCTGTAAATCACCGCGGTCCCTTACGTCACGGCAAGCCTTGGGGAGCCACGCCCAGGGCCGGGGCATGTGGAAGAGGAGCGATGAGAGAAGGGGGCAGGGGCAGCTCGGACAGTACATTTCATTAAAGCGTGTTTTTAAAAAAAGTATTTTAAAATATTTAATTTTAACTGTCTGTTGTCGTTTTTGTCGTATTCTCAAATCTTGTAACTCAATTTTAACCAACTTCCCAATGTGGTATCGACTGCAAACTTGGTATACTTATGTCATACTGATGACAATACTATATTCTATCATTTAAAAAAATATATTTTTAAACATTCGTTTTTATGTTATGTTTCGGTCTAATTGTCCCCACAGTCAACTGACGTTGGCTATAATTGGCCACTGTCCCTTACGTTATGGCAAGCTTCGGGGCCATTTCCTGGAGTCGTGGAGTTCTGCCATTACTAGTACATTTCATAAAAGCACGTATGAAAAAGCAAGTGTTTTTCTTAATTATTTATTTATAGTCAAAATCGCCAAATTTGCGGAGCTTCGCTGCAAGTACAGGGAGAGACGAGAGGTGAGGCAGCGACACGCTCAGCCTCCCCTCAGACACTGGATGGACCGCGGGCAGTAAGGGCTTGCCTGTTACTATCTCAGCATGTCACCAATGGAATGTTTGTAGACCCCTTCATTGCATGTCCTCGCCTTCCATAGTCCAGGTAACTGAGTTCAAGTACAGTAGAACCTCTGGTCACGACCATAATTCGTTCCATAACTTTGGTCGCAACCCGATTTGGTCGTGACTCAAACCTAATTTCCCCATTGGATTGTATGTTAATACGATTAATCCATTCCAGACTCCTACGAACTGTATATAAAGTTTTTAAAATATTTTTAAGGACAAAAATAGTTAATTATGCCATAGAATTCATTGTAATAGTAAACTAAATGTAAAAACATTGCATAACACTGAGAAAACCTTGAAAAACAGAGAAAACTGACAAGGTTTAGAATTGTTCAACAAGATTACTGTTTCGTCTGCTACATCAGTCGGTCGATTCTGAGAGAGCATATTCATATGAGCAATTTATGTTTCTATTGAAAGTTAACAGTAATATTTGAGTACAGTATTGTTTTTGGAAGCATTCACCGTAATATCGTATGAACGTTTACTTCACCGCATCATCGTATTAATGCGAGAAGAGATTAACGGGTTCTTATGTTAGCGATTGACGTACTCAGCGCTTTCGCTCTCTAAACTATGGCTTGAATGAGGAAGGAGGGGTATGACTACACTTACAAAATGTATACATATCTTACTAGGAATTTTATATTACAAAAGATATATACATAACTGTTACGCTTTGTGTAATTCAACAACAAAAATGGCGCGGAAGGAGAAATCGGCCGCGGCCCTGTTTGATCTCCACCCGAGTATGTGTTCGTGACCAGATTAAATAAACTGTTGTAAATGTTTTGGTCGAAACCCAATTTGGTCGTGATCAGAAGCATTCGCGACCAGAGGTTCTACTGTATGTGCATAAAGATACGTAGGCTCGCTGGTCTCGTCATGAAACTGCAATGAAAAAGCACCAGGGGAGGCAGCTATCACATCTGCCTCACTGAGGGGGGTGGGCGTGTCAGACACCGGTGAGGCCACGCCCCCAGTGCCTCCCCAAACACTGACCTCACGCCATGTCACTGGCTCCCATCCATCGCATTCATTGTTAATTACCGAGGCTCACAGAGCAAGACTAAGGCTCCCATAGGCTTCAGTGTGAATCGCTGAGGCTCACAAGAGCCAGATGAAGGCTCCCATAGGGTTCAGTGGTAAACACCGAAGCTCCTGGTGAGATATCTACCCAACCAACAGATCCACCAAGACTGGCCGCTCTTACCCTGCAGGTTGAACCTAAGATTTCAATGTTCTACTTCACGTTATTTTCATTAAAGGCCTGTGACAAAGGTGCATCTATTGGAAGCGACATCGTCTCAAGCTTACACATCTACCGGGTCTCCATTTGACTTTATATTGTCTAGGAAGTCCACCCACACCTCCACTTCCACAAACTGCTGTGAGTTGCCTCGCTCTGCCTTACAGTCAGAATTCCCCTCTTGCTTCACGTTGCCTCCACCGATGTGAAGGTCCCATTCTGGAGTCGAATTTTCATCTTCACATTTTACCTTCACTTCTTCGCTCTTCAACGTCACCTCTTCACATTTCACAATCACCTCTTCAAATTCCGCCTTGATACCTTTTAAAGTGCCCAAACTGGGATTTTCTTCCGGTACTTGTTTCATGAGGGATGGGCTCCTTACGGCACTTTGACTTTCACAAGCTGATTTCAGACTCCACTCCTTGTGGATCTTCTGATGCTTCTGTGTTCTCTGGTGTTCTTGAAGATGTTGTGAACGTGCAAACGCCTTCCCGCACAGAGTGCACCTGAAGGGTTTCTCTCCTGTGTGTGTTCTCTGGTGTCTTGCAAGAACAGATGAGTATGAAAATGCCTTCCCACACACACTGCACTTGAAGGGTTTCTCTCCTGTGTGTGTTCTCCGGTGTGTTGCAAGATTTGAGGACTGTGAAAATGCCTTCCCACACACTCTGCACTTGAAGGGTTTCTCTCCTGTGTGTGTTCTCTGGTGTCTTGCAAGAACAGATGAATATGAAAATGCCTTCCCACACACACTGCACTTGAAGGGTTTCTCTCCTGTGTGTGTTCTCCGGTGTGTTGCAAGATTTGAGGACTGTGAAAATGCCTTCCCACACACTCTGCACTTGAAGGGTTTCTCTCCTGTGTGTGTTCTCTGGTGTATTGCAAGATCAGATGACTGTGAAAATGCCTTGCCACACACACTGCACTTGAAGGGTTTCTCTCCTGTGTGTGTTCTCTGGTGTTTTGCAAGATCACTTGACTCTGAAAATGCCTTCCCACACACACTGCACTTGAAGGGTTTCTCTCCTGTGTGTGTTCTCTGGTGTTTTGCAAGATTTGAGGACTGTGAAAATGCCTTCCCACACACTCTGCACGTGAAGGGTTTCTCTCCTGTGTGTGTTCTCTGGTGTATTGCAAGATGTTGTGACCGTAAAAATGCCTTCCCACACACACTGCACTTGAAGGGTTTCTCTCCTGTGTGTGTTCTCTGGTGTCGTGCAAGATTAGATGACTGTGAAAATGCCTTCCCACACACAATGCACTTGCAGTCCGATCCGTGCTGTATGCACGCTGGTCAGATTGTTGCCTTGCCGTACCGAGCCGCGCTGACTGCCTGTGCTCCATCAGACCAATTCTGCAGTGGAAGCGTCAGAGGAAGCGACAGCTGCAGACAGAAAATAGCATCTACACGTCAGTATCGAGGCACAGAGGAATGAATATACGCATATATAAGTACACAATCTTGATTTGAAGCTTTTATGACTGCAGGAATCCATACTCTATGGTTCTTTTGGTAAAGTCACGTAGGTAGAATTAACATAAATGACGTTTCGAACGCAACACAAGCGTTCGTCTTCGGGTGAAAATTGCGATAGCTGAGATGTCTGCTGTGATTTATTTTAATAAACGCTTTCATTTAACTCACTGTCTGTTGTTGTTGTCATTGTTGTTGTTGTATCCTCAAATCTTGTAACTCAATTTTAACCCACTTCCCAATGTGATATCGACTGCAAACTTGGTATACTTACGCCATACTGATGACAATACTATATTCTATCATTAAATAAAACAAATTTAAACAATCTTTTTTACATGTTATGTTTCGGCTTGGGTCTAATTGTCCACGGTAAACTGACGTTGGCTGTAATTGACCACGGTCGCTTGTGTTACGGCAAGCCTCAGAGCCACTTCCTGGAGTCGTGGAGTTCTTCCATTACAAGTACATTTCATAAAAGCGTGTTCTTAAAAGTTTTTTAAAATTTTACTTATTTTATTTCTACCTACGTGACTTTACCGAAAGAACCAAAGAGTATATATAAATACAGTCACACATGACTAACACGTCTATACGTATTAATATATTCATGATAGAGTTAAAAGTTTCCCAAATTCATCACACGGGCTGTTATGGCGCACTATGAGAGGGCAAATGGTCATAAACATTCCTGGAAGCCCTCGTATCTTCAAAATGAATGTTAACCCAAAACTCCAAGCACACAATTTTGGCTGTCTGGCTACAAAATGAATATTCATAAGAGCTAAATTCAGCTGACATAGCAAAGGGTGTTGAAAATAATACTACTTGTGTTATGCATAAATTCATGTTCAATCGCAACTTAGAGGTGTGAAGCCAGGCTCAGGTTTCTTTGAATGCTGGGATGAACAGATCTAACGTCAGCTGTATGTGTGCTGTGTCAACTTCCTGACTGCTTCCATTCTCATAAAGAGTTCCAGATAAAAACAAAAAACATAAACCATGCTTTTGATATAACCTCCGTGTTCAATAGAATTAATAGACTTTACTGCAAACACAAACTTGACACTGCTACACACTGCCGTGTTAAACAGGTGGTGTCGTGTCCAGAACCATGCCTGGCCCCACACCTTCATCTGCTCAGTATTAATGTTTCAGTTTCATTTATTAGGTACTAGCTTTACTATCTGGCTTCGTCCGAGACTTGGATTCTTGTCTTGAATGAATCCACGGCCAACGCGGAGGGTGGGAGATGCGTGACGTCAGCATGCACACTGCGTGACACTGCCGCATGCGGGTGACATCACAGATGTGAGGTCACCGCTCACTTGCCATGCAAAATATATCCATTATTGCGCACACTCCCCAAAAAATGCAAAAGTAAATTTTTATACTTTTTGCATTGTGTACAGTCTGGAAGGTACCCACATGCCAAATTTCAAGTTTGTTGCATGTCAGAAAGTATGCTAAACATTTCGAACAGACACACATTCACAAATTTCCCTTGCCATAGGACAATTCAGATTAAAGTTGTCAGGCTAACTCTGTACTACAACAAGCAAACATGGCTAAACCAAAAGTTTTCAATGCTTCCTCACTCCATCAAGTAATTGAGGATTAAATCAACATAACAGAGTTTGCGTGTCTCCCTCTCTCTCAGTGGTGACGTGGATTTTCCTCCGGATGCCCCTCCACATTTAAGAGTGAACATCAGCACGCGTTTAGAGCCTTTGACCGATAGTCATTTCCACACGTTGACAAAGCCCACCTTTAAATTTTGATTTAAAGCTTTCGTGACTGCAGGGATTCATATTCTTGGTTCTTTCGGTAAAGTCACATAAAAGGGAAATAACAAAATAATATCAATATAAAACAACAAATGCACTCACGAAAGCTTCAAATCATAAGAGCGGTAACAGCAGCACAAGTGGGCTCGGTGTTGTATCCTAACCCTTCTTCCAAAACTGAGATTAATCATATTTGATGAGATTTTTATATATTATCTTTTACTTGTTTTTTTTTAATGAATGAAACACACCAGAGCGCAGCAAACTGCAAAACACCAGGTGTTGTTAAGTAATGAACAGGAGGAGGGCTAGGATGGCAGAATTTGCAACCTTGCTTCAAGGCAAAGGCAATGAAAGAAAGTAGAGGCGCCTTTGTCTACATCACAACCACAGAAAGCCAGGAATCATCACTGATTGTGTGTTCAGGGATTCCGAGCTAGTTAGAACACGTGCACACTGAGGGAACAAAGAAGTGGGTCAGCTCAAGGCTGTGTGCACAGGGGGGGAGCTGATTTAAAAGAGTGTTGTATATCTCTCAAGGCGGGCAAGACCCAGCTGAATAACAAGTCTGCGGGGGTCACCAGAAGTTCGCATTCGCCTAGTTAAGACAAAAAGCTCAATTATTCTGTATTGCTATTAAAGTAACGTTAAAGTCGGAATTTAACAACAGGGTAGGCTAAAGTTATTGATATTCACACCCACTCCAATTAAACCAGGCCACAAGTTACGCCTACTAAACCATCACCATCATTAAGTCAATATGAAATGTTATTTCCATACTTTAATACTTTCTATACAACTCGACCCGAAGCATATGACAATCAGAACCTTCCTAAGTCAAAATTGAATCGCACCCAGACAGGAGCGAATATATCATATATAAGGTTGAAGAGGGAAGGAAATTAAGAGCACGGCGGCAGACAAAAACCAGAACTGACTCCAAGGTTCAACCGCCCTCCCCTACAAGGAGTGACGGAAATTAATGAGGCCTTGAGTTAACGGCCAGCTGGACGGCAACAACAACGGCGAGCAGAGATAGGGTGGGGCAAAGACTGCGGGGCTATGAAATGCAACTTCGTGTCAGTAAAGCTCTGACAAACAAGTTAAGTTAAAGACATCACAATACATAATATCGGACATAACATCAATGTTAACGCTATTCACCGTAAACTATATTCCGCTTATATAACCATGCAGACACCAAGGAATACGAATTCCTAGGATCAAGAAGCTTACCCCTTGACCTAAGATATCGGAAATAAGTTAATAATAATAAGCATATGCATGAAAAGACAAAGTAAAACTTATGAAAAGCCAGGATAACGGGATGAATCACCACCAGGTCGAATATAATACATAATAAAAAAACGATGTTAAACCCAGGGTCGGAGAGAAAGGGAGATCCCGGCCGTCTTTGTATCCCCGCAGAGCGGGATAGGAGTGTGTATACGCTCGGGGAAACACCTCCACTGGAGTCAAGCACCACGATGGGAAACGACAGACCTTAGGTTACATACAGAATCATAACTGTGAAATAGTAAGGGACAAATGTTAACTTAAAACTTTTTAACCATTTCTTTGTGCGCCGGGTCGGAGAGAGCGTTGCCCCTCCCTCCAGGTGATGCAACACGAACAAAGACCCCTATGAGACGATTTGTGATGTCTGTGTTTTGGGTTCATGAAGAAGGCCAAACAAGAGATAATATTGCACCCAGACAGAGAGACGACCTCGAGGCAATTTGTAACATCTGATTGTTTGCTCGTGGGTTTATGGAGGGAGTGTGACAACGGAATATACCGTGGGTGATGCACACAAGGACATACGGACGTACGGACACACACATGGACACACCTACCTACGGACAAATCCTGACACGGCAAAAATCGAAAGAAGCCCCGCCTTGTGGGCGGGATCCAGGGGGATTTTTCGGCATAAAGGAAGGATCCTGAGCATTGGAAACTAGTGCGACCAGCGGGTCCACTCAGGAGTGCGACCGGGAGAGTCGGCTCAGGAGGAGTGCGACCAGCGGGTCCACTCAGGAGTGCGACCAGCGGGTCCACTCAGGAGTGCGACCAGTGGGTCGACTCAGGAGTGCGACCGGGAGGGTCGACTCAGGAGCGAGGGCGACCAGCGGGTCGACCCAGGAGCGAGCTCGACCGGGAGGGTCGGCTCAGGAGCGAGCTGCGACCAGCGGGTCGGCTTGACTCATCTTCAGCTCGTCAACCTCTGCCGAGTCGGAGGTCTCTGCTGCCGCCGGAGTGGCGAGGGTCGCGGTTTGGCGACGACCCAGCGCTGCGCGCTGCGAGCGGGTTGTGGGCGCCACCTACCGACCGGGTTCTGAACTGCGACAGCGTATCAACAGCCATCCGAACCAGTTCACCACGGTGACAGGGGAGCGACTGATACGTATGACGCGCACCGCCCCCTCACCACACGACCACCAGGCGTCTGTTTGACATAAAGAATCGACTCCGAACACTGACTATTCAAGACAACTCTTACCACTCAAACACACTCGAACCCATAAGCCATCCGTGGCTGGGAAGGCATCACAACGAGACCGAGTGATGGCCATCCGTCGTTTATAAGAGTCTTCGTAATTTTTATCTTTAATATTTAGTGGGCTGTACTCTTAATCGCATAAATTCCCAACAGATCCATCAATACGAACTGATTCTTGGCACCTCCTTCCGCCGAGCCACGCTCACGTGGGGAGTGGTGGCCCACCGGATCCTTATCAGGTGATCTGGTCCCCAATTAGTAAACTTGGTATAAGATAACGATCTTCGGAAAAGGAGCACCGTCGCAGGCCCTTACTCCGAGCCGTTCTGTTGGCAGATAACCTGCCGATGTATCTGTTGAGATTGGTGCCTTTAAGAATAATAACTGTTTTGATTGTGTTTTTTTATCGCCGTATAATCTTTCAAGTATCTTTCAGTCATAATCGCCGCACGTACTCGCATCCTCTA